AACCCAAGTAGCTGTGACAACCCAAGTAGCTGTGACAACCTAAGTAGCTGTGACAACCCAAGTAGCTGTGACAACCCAAGTAGCTGTGACAACCCAAGTAGCTGTGACAACCAAGTAGCTGTGACAACCAAGTAGCTGTGACAACCCAAGTAGCTGTGACAACACAAGTAGCTGTGACAACCAAGTAGCTGTGCAACCAGTAGCTGTGACAACCCAAGTAGCTGTGACAACACAAGTAGCTGTGACAACCCAAGTAGCTGTGACAACCCAAGTAGCTGTGACAACCCAAGTAGCTGTGACAACACAAGTAGCTGTGACAACCCAAGTAGCTGTGACAACCCAAGTAGCTGTGACAACCCAAGTAGCTGTGACAACCCAAGTAGCTGTGACAACCCAAGTAGCTGTGACAACCAGTAGCTGTGACAACCCAAGTAGCTGTGACAACCCAAGTAGCTGTGACAACCCAAGTAGCTGTGACAACCCAGGTAGCTGTGACAACCCAAGTAGCTGTGACAACCCAAGTAGCTGTGACAACCAAGTAGCTGTGACAACCCAGGTAGCTCTGACAACCCAAGTAGCTGTGAACCAAGTAGCTTGACAACCAAGTAGCTGTGACAACCCAGGTAGCTGTGACAACCCAGGTAGCTGTGACAACCCAAGTAGCTGTGACAAACCAGGTAGCTGTGACAACCCAGGTAGCTGTGACAACCCAAGTAGCTGTGACAACCCAAGTAGCTGTGACAGCCCAAGTAGCTGTGACAACCCAAGTAGCTGTGACACAGTAGCTACACCCAAGTAGCTGTGACAACCCAAGTAGCTGTGACAACCCAAGTAGCTGTGACAACCCAAGTAGCTGTGACAACCCAAGTAGCTGTGACAACCCAAGCAGCTGTGACAACCCAAGTAGCTGTGACAACCCAACTGTGAACATAGCTGTGACACCCAAGTAGCTGTGACAACCCAAGTAGCTGTGACAACCAAGAGCTGTGACACTCAAGTAACTGTGACAACCACAAGTAGCTGTGACAACCCAAGGATCATAGCTGTGACAACCCAAGTAGCTGTGACAACCCAAGCAGCTGTGACATCCCAGGTAGCAGTGACAACCCCAGGTAGCAGTGACAACCCCAGGTAGCAGTGACAACCCCAGGTAGCAGTGACAACCCAAGGAGGACAGCGAAGCTGTTCACCAGCGACCAGTGTGCAAGGAACAAAAGGCGATGAGGGTGGTTAGGAGAAATATGGGTGAGGAGAAGGGAGGAAGGGGAGGGGTAAAGTGGGAGAAGCAAAAGAAGGAGGGGAGGGGCGAAAGGGGTTCCCATTTCGAATGGGGAACGAGGATGGCTGGTGGAATAGAGAGGTGTATTTGAGGTGGAACATGGATGGGGTGAGAGGCAGAACAGGGGGGGGTTGAGAGGGAAGACTGGGGAAGGGAGAAAAATGAGGGGAGAACATTAGGAAGGGAGGGAGGAGAGGAGGAGAGTGGGGGTTATTGAGCCGTGGGAGGGAGGAAGGTAGTGGATTGTGGGGGGCAGGGGAGGATAAAGGATGCTAGTGTTGAGGTAGGTAAGGTCGGGTGCACCGCACTACATCCTGGGATCACCGAACTTGTGGCTCAGGCTGGGCATGCTTCACTCTTGACACAGACGGTGGCCATTGCAGTCACCAGCTGCCTTAACTTTGTCGATTCCCCTCCTCTCCTTCCCTCTCTCACACCCCGTTCCCCTCAGTCACACCCCTACCCCCGCCTCCAAACCCCACCCACCATATACACATATTCGCAAAATTATAATGTATATATAATAAATAATTATATATATATATATATATATATATATATATATATATATATATATATATATATATATATATATATATATTATATATATATCAGGCCAAGTGTCTATCACAAGTGCCTTTGACAACTAGTAACTTCTACACACACACACACACACACACACACACACACACACACACACACACACACACACACACACACCCCCTTAACAGGGAATCGTTCAGGACTCTGTACACCTTGTACGTTAGGAGGAATCGACAAGGTGGACAGAGACGAGATGTTCCAGAGATGGGACACAGCAACGAGGAGTCATAGTTGGAAGTTGAAGACTCAAATGAATCACATAGATGTTAGGAAGTATTTCTTCAGTCACAGAGTTATCATGAAGTGGAATAGTCTGGAAAGTGATGTAGTGGAGGCAGGATCCATACATATCTTTAAGAAGAGGTATGATAAAGCTCATGGAGCAGAAAGTGACCTAGTAGCGGCCATTGAAGAGGCGGGGCCAGGAGCTGTGAATCGACCACTGCAAACATAACTAGGTGAGTACAACTAGTCACCCACTCAAGAGCGCCCATCAAGGCACTCAAATGAGTGCCTTGATGGGTGGGCTGAGTGGGTGGCTAGATGTTCAGGGTGGGAGATGGTTGAGGTAGGTGGTTGAGGCAGGTGGCTGAGACAGGTGAACTCAACAATGAGTCAAATTATCTCCCTCACCTGTTTCCGGATATTATAGTTACAGTTGGACCCTCTCACACACACATGCACACGCACTCATGAATACCCTCCCCCCACACACTACCAACCCTCCATCAAGAACCCCCACACACCATCAACCCTCCATCATGAACCCTCACACACCACCAACCACCATCATGAACCCCCCTACACACCACCAACCACCATCATGAACCCCCACACACACCACCAACCACCATCATGAACGCCTACCCCCACCACCACCACACACACCAACACCATCAACACTGATGAACACCTTCATCTAGGCTGAGGGACTGGTTACTCGTATTCTACTGTCTCTAGTCTCAACACCTTCAATTAACCTCTGCATTGAGCTGATAAAGCCAGTGGTTGGTGAAACGTCTTCAGAATAAATACACCAGGTGTTACACATGTGTCTCATTAACTTGTCGGTACTGCATACAATTACTGCTACCAAAACAAAACTCGGTAGAGGGCAGAAACGTAGTCTATACAGATTCTACCTCTTGAAATATTACATGAAATGATCTGTACATAGGTTAGATAAATTAAGTTTTGTTGTAATGATGTTTTAAAAAGGTTATTTTGCTGTGTTAGTTTTAATTCAGAACGGAGAAGAATCTGTCATTACTGACTCAAATGATGGTGTTAATGTTGATTAACTGAGTATAAACCATAAGAGCAGTTATCAGCAGGCCCATTATATTGTTTATTAATTTATATAATTTATTTTTATATGTTTTGTTGTATTGGTATGAGGTTGAGTGATTACACGGTCGAATTAAAACCATTACAATATCATGAAAAGTCTATGCCACCAGGTGTCAGCACCAGCATGGCGCGAAATATAAACCCAGGGGGACCTACAACAACAACTACTACTACCACTACCACTACTACTACGACCAACAGATCCCTCACTGGCTTCAGGAAGGAACTTGGCAAGTTCCTGCCAACTGTTACTGGTCAACCAGGCTGTGGTGCTCACGTCAGTGTGCATGCTTGGCGTGGCCACAGCCCTCGGCCCCGGGAGCAATGATACCCGGAACTACTGCCAGGTGGAACACCTGATCGAAGCCATTCTGACCTAATTATTTTTACACGTCATCACCTATTTTTATACCAAATTATCATCTTTTTTTTGCATAATGGCTATATGTTTCGTAAATGCTACCCACCTTATAAACTTGTTACACATCCTTATTATCCACTCTGATGACAGTCCTTACCATTCTCATATTAGTTCATAAACTAATTAGTTTTAATTCAGTTTGACTGGTCGTGGATCATTAAGCTTGCAATTTATCGATCAATAAAATATACTTTAATACCTAAGCAAGGAATTAAAGTATATTCTCAATTTTTATATACTAAGGCACCTTTTCGGTGTATATACCATATCATATATTCTCATATTTTGTTGCATGCAAAAACAGTTTGACTATTTTTTTAATGTTAATTATTTGTTAACTTGCGTTGCCAGTCAACGAAAGTGAAATTAAAATCATTACATCATTCAAATTTCTTAGGTTAAAAAAATGCGATACAAACATAGTTCATTATAATAGCAAGTTCCCTCAGGGACGCATGAAAAACACGGAAGAGTGCCTCTACTTGAGAATAAACATGGAAGAGTGCCTCTACTTGAGAATAAACACGGAAGAGTGCCTCTACTTGAGAATAAACACGGAAGAGTGCCTCTACTTGAGAATAAACACGGAAGAGTGCCTCTACTTGAGAATAAACACGGAAGAGTGCCTCTACTTGAGAATAAACACGGAAGAGTGCCTCTACTTGAGAATAAACACGGAAGAGTGCCTCTACTTGAGAATAAACACGGAAGAGTGCCTCTACTTGAGAATAAACACGGAAGAGTGCCTCTACTTGAGAATAAACACGGAAGAGTGCCCTACTTGAGAATAAACACGGAAGAGTGCCTCTACTGAGAATAAACACGAAGAGTGCCCTACTTGAGAATAAACACGGAAGAGTGCCTCTACTCGAGAATAAACACAGAAGAGTGCCTCTACTCGAGAATAAACACAGAAGAGTGCCTCTACTTGAGAATAAACACGGAAGAGTGCCTCTACTTGAGAATAAACACGGAAGAGTGCCTCTACTTGAGAATAAACACGGAAGAGTGCCTCTACTTGAGAATAAACACGGAAGAGTGCCTACTTGAGAATAAACACAGAAGAGTGCCTCTACTTGAGAATAAACACGGAAGAGTGCCCTTACTTGAGAATAAACACGAAGAGTGCCTCTACTTGAGAATAAACACGAAGTGCCTCTACTCGAGAATAAACACAGAAGAGTGCCTCTACTTGAGAATAAACACAGAAGAGTGCCTCTACTTGAGAATAAACACAGAAGAGTGCCTCTACTCGAGATAAACACAGAAGAGTGCCTCTGCTCGAGAATATGTATGCATGGGGAAGGAATGTGGGGTATTTATGAGGATACAAGATAAATTACTTACATTGTGAGATACCAGTCGGCGTGGAGAAACAAAAGATGCTCCTCCAGCAATCTGTACAAGCTGGTTAATTGATGAGTGAGATATATATAGCTGCTGATCAGCACCTTTCCACTCGACTCGGCTGATACTCGCCACATCGAGGGCATTGACCTTTACGTAACACTTATTTTTCTAATATGCACGTTCTTAGCCTTCGTTATATTTGATTTTACGATCACTTTGCATTCATTTCTAAGCACAGAAAAGGGTATGAAACAATGTGGGAAGGTGGAGAGAGGTGTGACAGTACGCGACGCAACACTGTGTAGACAAACGACCTTGGCTGCCAGGCACGCGACCTCTACTCCAAGCTGTTGTTTTCCTTCCCCGGCAACGCCACACAGACGCCAACAACTCCAACGGCGCTCACAACCTACACCATCGATGACTTAACTATTCTAATACACCGGAATACATATAGCATCCACTGGTAGGGAGACATGAATGTGTTCTTTTTTCCTTTTGAAACCCCCCTTCCCCCTTCTAAACGGAAAGTGTCGTACAGTAGAGCAGCTTCCGCTTAGAGGCCACCACGGCTGTTGACCCCCAACAAGTCAGTGTTTACATTGGAGTGAAGACGGTGTGCTTCAACGTAATCTTTAATTACTTCCGTAAACATTTGCAATAATTACCTGGATTAATAAAACCTCATAAAATATATATGGGATCAATCTTAATTAATTATCAGATCATCACGAGTCACGCGACTTATGATATACAAGGTGTCCACAAACTCCTTAACGTTTTAAAAAAAATTTACAACCAAATTGTGAAAGATATGAAAATGCAGTTTTCTGCATATAATTAGATTAGTAATAGAGTTTTAGGGTTGTCTAATCTATGCAGACTTAGTGTCCCTTAACACATTTGCCTAATCGATACTCCAGTTCATTCTACGTATTAGCCAACATATTCTGTGTGAAATTTCCCATGTTATCAAATATTCTAGCATGAGGTGTTTTAATGCCAGTTGCTGCATCTTGTAAACCAGATAGAGGAGATTTAAAGCAGTGATATCGGCGTGAGTTTGGAGAAAGGGTGGGGGGGGGTGGAGGGACATATAATGGGTTCAAAACGCATAACCCATCTTCCAGAAAACTTAACATTATGATAATTATGATCGTATGCAAAGAACTTCGTTTTCATATGTTTTCCCTGCTGATCACGGGGAAAAATATTAACTCAAGGAATGTGGGGACTCGGGACATCTGGACCACTTTGTCCTTGTAGGATCGAAGCCCGAGGATTCTGGAGCCAACATGCAACAGGCTTCCTCAGTGACCTAACTTCCAGCCTCATCTACACCACTAAAGACCCAAGAGCTGCCACCTTCCTGTTGTAGCGCCTCGTTTCCAGTACAGCGTCTGAGGAGCTGGAGGAGATTTATAATCTATTTTAAAATAGTGTTATAATGTATACATGATGTCAATAAAAGTATGTATATAAATAAATAAATATTTTCATCCCCATGTGGCTTGTTCTGCATTGTTAAGATCGCCTGTTTATATATATATATATATATATATATATATATATATATATATATATATATGAGAGAGAGAGAGAGAGAGAGAGAGAGAGAGAGAGAGAGGAGCGCATTATCATAAAATTTAGTCGACCTGTGTGTCTAAGATGAATGAGTAATGCAGCAGGGACCGGCAGGGAGCATTGTGCAAGACGAGACAGTAGTCTGCCCTCCAGACAGTGCCATAGGCCTGAGACACCAACAGCGCGGCCAGACGTGTGGCTCTCCCCCCCCCCCCACTCCTCCCACGCCTCCACACAGCTTACCATGTGCTCTCACCTATCAATATCTGCGCCACAGAGACCATGTCGGGGTTTTGGTGAATGTGGCTTCCCTCAGAGAGAGTGGCTTAACAGGTTACCTTAACCTGACAAGTATTAAGCTCAAATGTATAACGGAAGTAGTGGCTATACGGAATGGTGGGTGAGCATGGGAAAAGTCATCGACATGGGGATCTGAGGAGGGAACACCTCTGGTGAGTCCGACTCTTATTATAAGGGGACAACTTTGGCACTACCAGGGGAAAGGGGAGAAGAGAAAAGCCCTCAATAACCCTCTGGCTAACGGATTGTCCCCTTAACATACTTCCCCCTCGCATAACTACGGCCTCACAATACTGAATAACATGCTCGGCACCTCTCGTCAGGACGGACATGGCATTTTTGTGAGAGCTCAAGGTGGGGTCGCTAGCCGTGTTGTGTGTGGAGGACGATGCTCCCGCTGACAGTGCAACGCTGCTGTTGCTGCTGCTGCTGTTGCTGCTACAAGATACACCACCCACGCTGCTCCACAGTCCTGCCAGGGACACTATGCACTATGAACACAATATTTCACGAAGAATGGAATTCTGCTTGCACGATATCTTTTCTTCACTATATTTAATAATACAAGCGAATGCATTTCTTCTGAGATCTATGGCAAGTTAAACATTTTTGGGTGTTGTCGAAAACTAGCAACGTTAAATGGGAGCATCGCTAACGTTAACACATACCCCATACAGCTAACGTTTCGTAAGCATTGTCACATCACTAACGAAATTATAAACATTGTTGCACCTCTAATGTTATTATAAACACTCAATTTTTTTTACCACCAACACTGAGTAGTACCTTCAGTCACCAAGCATGGTGTAGGACACAGTGAGGGTGTGAGCACTCGCAGCTATTGCGAGTAGCAGCAATGCCAGTGAGGAGCGGGTCAGGGGGCCGAGTAGCGTGCCCAAACCCCTCGCCAGCCAAACACAAACTGAGTTACTGAGGGCAACGACCGGGTGTCCCGTCCCCCCCCCCCTTCCTCCATCCTCTCCCTCCCAGTTCTCATCGCCTCTCCCCCCCCCACACACACAACCTGCCGTGAGGGGAGGCCCAGACCCCTCAGCCACCCATCCTTGTCTCTTACCAGAGCCCAGCTGTTTCCACCCTACCACAGCCGATTAAGTCTGGAGCTGGAGTAACTATGCTCGAGTCGCGGGTTACACAGCCCATTACACATCCTGCCTTGGGATAGGGAGGAAGGAGGGGGAGGGGGGTGTTTAATCCTCCGTGTGGTCTGCTGGCTAGTGATTCATTCAACTAATTACATGCGTGTGTGCGCGTGTACTCACCTATTTGTCCTCTTCTTATTTATGGTTCCAGGGGTCGAGGCATATGGGCCTGCCTTTAGACGCTTACTTGTGTGTGTGTGTGTACTCACCTAGTTGAGGTTGCGGGGGTCGAGTCCGAGCTCCTGGCCCCGCCTCTTCACTGATCGCTACTAGGTCACTCTCCCTGAGCCGTGAGCTTTATCATACCTCTGCTTAAAGCTATGTATGGATCCTGCCTCCACTACATCGCTTCCCAAACTATTCCACTTACTGACTACTCTGTGGCTGAAGAAATACTTCCTAACATCCCTGTGATTCATCTGTGTCTTCAGCTTCCAACTGTGTCCCCTTGTTACTGTGTCCAATCTCTGGAACATCCTGTCTTTGTCCACCTTGTCAATTCCTCTCAGTATTTTGTATGTCGTTATCATGTCCCCCCTATCTCTCCTGTCATCCAGTGTCGTCAGGTTGATTTCCCTTAACCTCTCCTCGTAGGACATACCTCTTAGCTCTGGGACTAGTCATGTTGCAAACCTTTGCACTTTCTCTAGTTTCTTTACGTGCTTGGCTAGGTGTGGGTTCCAAACTGGTGCCGCATACTCCAATATGGGCCTAACGTATACGGTGTACAGGGTCCTGAACGATTCCTTATTAAGATGTCGGAATGCTGTTCTGAGGTTTGCTAGGCGCCCATATGCTGCAGCAGTTATTTGGTTGATGTGCGCTTCAGGAGATGTGCCTGGTGTTATACTGGTGTGTGTGTGTGTGTGTGTGTGTGTGTGTGTGTGTGGTGTGTGTCAAAAGATCAGAACTACGTCCATTGGTGGTTTGTCACCTTGTAAACATTATTATATTTCACAATAGCTGTGGTCTTCACGACTCCCTGAAGCTCATTCAATTCGTCAAGTCTATTCGTACAGAAATACTTCCTACAATCTTTCCACACCGTGTTTTAGTGTTAAAGCGCTCGGCTCACATCCAAAAGGATCAGGGTTAAATATCTAGACGAGGAGGGACTTCTAGGGGAAAAGACTTCTTATAACTACTGACTCTCTCTCTCTCTCTCTCTCTCTCTCTCTCTCTCTCTCTCTCTCTCTCTCTCTCTCTCTCTCTCTCTATCTATCTATCTATCTATCTATCTATCTACCTACCTACCGAGTATTATTATAAGCATAACTAGCGCTAAATCCACAAGGGCCACCTAGTAATAAATATATTTCTACTTATTAATCAGCTGCTGTGGGTTGCATTCCGGGGAAGAGGACTTGGAGGACTCCAGATAGATATAAGCCTCACTGCTTGACTCTCTCTGGTTATCCTGGGATACCAGCACTTCGGGTTATCCTGGGGTATCGGCACTTCAGGTTATCCTGGGGTATCGGCACTTCAGATTATCCTGGGGTATCGGCACTTCAGGGTATCCTGGGATATCGGCACTTCAGGGTATCCTGGGATATCGGCACTTCATGGTATCCTGGGATATCGGCACTTCAGGTTATCCTGGGATATCGGCACTTCAGGTTATCCTGGGATATCGGCACTTCAGGTTATCCTGGGATATCGGCACTTCAGGGTATCCTGGGATATCGGCACTTCAGGTTATCCTGGGATATCGGCACTTCAGGTTATCCTGGGGATATCGGCACTTCAGGTTATCCTGGGAAATCGGCACTTCAGGTTATCCTGGGAAATCGGCACTTCAGGTTATCACTGGGATATCGGGACTTCAGTTATCCTGGGATAATCGGCACTTCAGGTATCCTGGGAATCGGCACTTCAGGTATATCTCTGGGTATCCGTCACTTCAGTTATACCTGGATTATCGTCACTCATCATTCGTATCCTGGATATTCGCACTTCAGGGTATCCTGGGATATCGGCACTTCAGGTTATCCTGGGATATCGGCACTTTAGGTTATCCTGGGATATCGGCAATTCAGGTTATCCTGGGAAATCGACACTTCAGGTTATCCTGACAATCGGCTCGGTCTTATCCCTGGGATATCGGCACTCGATATCCTGGGAATATCGGTCACTTCAGGTACTTCTTTACTCTAAACCTTCCTCGTACTCTCACTCACTTCCTATTCTACTCCTCACTCCAACTTCCTTGTAATCTCACTCACTTCTCGTGCTCTCGCTCACTTCCTCGTACTCTCACTCACTTCCTCGTACTCTCACTCACTTCCTCGTACTCTCACTCACTTCCTCGTGCTCTCGCTCACTTCCTCGTACTCTCACTCACTTCCTCCTACTCTCACTCACTTCCTCCTACTCTCACTCACTTCCTCCTACTCTCACTCACTTCCTCGTACTCTCACTCACTTCCTTGTACTCTCACTCACTTCCTCGTACTCTCACTCACTTCCTCGTATCTCCTCACTTCCTTACCCACTCCTCTCGTATCTCGCTCACTTCCTCGTACTCTCACTCACTTCCTCGTACTCTCGCTCACTTCCTCTAATCTCACTCACTTCCTCCTACTCTCACTCACTTCCTCGTACTCTCACTCACTTCCTGTACTCTCACTCACTTCCTCGTCATCTCCTCACTTCCTCTACTCTCACTCACTTCCTCTACTCTCACTCACTTCCTCGTACTCTCGCTCACTTCCTCGTACTCTCACTCACTTCCTTGTACTCACTCACTTCCTTCACGCTCACTTCCTCGTAATCTCACTCACTTCCTCGTACTCTCACTCACTTCCTCCTACTCTCACTCACTTCCTCTACTCTCACTCACTTCCTCGTACTCCACTCACTTCCTCCTACTCTCACTCACTTCCTCCTACTCTCACTCACTTCCTCGTACTCTCACTCACTTCCTCCTACTCTCACTCACTTCCTCGTACTCTCACTCACTTCCTCGTACTCTCACTCACTTCCTCCTACTCTCACTCACTTCCTCTTACTCTCACTCACTTCCTCGTTACTCTCACTCACTTCCTCTACTCTCACTCACTTCCTCGTACTCTCACTCACTTCCTCGTAATCTCACTCACTTCCTCGTACTCTCACTCACTTCCTCGTACTCTCACTCACTTCCTCGTAATCTCGCTCACTTCCTCGTAACTCTCACTCACTTCCTCCTACTCTCACTCACTTCCTCTACTCTCACTCACTTCCTCTACTCTCACTCACTTCCTCTACTCTCACTCACTTCCTCGTACTCTCACTCACTTCCTCGTACTCTCACTCACTTCCTCGTGCTCTCACTCACTTCCTCGTACTCTCACTCACTTCCTCGTACTCTCATCACTTCCTCGTCTCCACTCACTTCCTCGTGCTCTCACTCACTTCCTCGTACTCTCACTCACTTCCTCTACTCTCACTCACTTCCTCGTACTCTCACTCACTTCCTCGTACTCTCACTCACTTCCTCGTACTCTCACTCACTTCCTCGTACTCTCACTCACTTCCTCGTGCTCTCACTCACTTCCTCGTACTCTCACTCACTCTCCTTACTCTCACTCACTTCCCGTACTCTCACTCACTTCCTCGTACTCTCACTCACTTCCTCCCGTACTCTCACTCTCACTCATTCCTCGTACTCTCACTCACTTCCTCGTACTCTCACTCACTTCCTCGTACTCTCACTCACTTCCTCGTACTCTCACTCACTCTCCTACTCTCACTCATTCTCTACTCTCACTCACTTCCTCCTACTCTCACTCACTTCCTTGTACTCTCACTCACTTCCTCGTACTCTCACTCACTTCCTCGTACTCTCACTCACTTCCTCGTACTCTCACTCACTTCCTCGTACTCTCACTCACTTCCTCGTACTCTCACTCACTTCCTCGTCTCTCCATCACTTCCTCGTACTCTCACTCGCTTCCTCGTACTCTCACTCGCTTCCTCGTACTCTCACTCACTTCCTCGTACTCTCACTCACTTCCTCGTACTCTCACTCACTTCCTCGTACTCTCACTCACTTCCTCGTACTCTCACTCACTTCCTCGTACTCTCACTCACTTCCTCGTACTCTCACTCACTTCCTCGTACTCTCACTCACTTCCTCGTACTCTCCGCTGTACTTACACATGGTTCACATGTCAACTTCTCCAGTATTCAAATTACTCTTAAAGATCACTAAAAGGAGGAAAGAGTGTCTTGATCCAAGGAATCGCAGTTGTCTCTCCTTCCTTGGATCAAAACTATTACCTCCTGTTTTCCAGGCTCTATATTTCCTATACCGTTTCACTTTTCCCGTTAATAATAATAATAATAATAATAATAATAATAATAATAATAATAATAATAATACACCCCATCCTCTGGGATATCAGCAGTAGTTTACCTGTGATATTCCTTTGAAGGATTTCTAGAGTTTTCCTACTGTAATAGCCACCCCTGGGCCAGGCTTGTCTTATGCTTGCCTGATCAACCAGGCTGTTACTGCCGCTGGCAGTAACAGCCTGGTTCACAGTGAGCGTGGGGATACCAAGAATTGACAGTGAAAGTAGGGATACCAACGCTCACAACAAGTATAAGGATACCAACCCTCAAAGCATGCGTGGGATACCCAGCTGAAGAGCTAGGAAGAATATATACAAATATAAGATTAAGACTGAAAGACTTTATAGGTAATATGTAAGGCTGAAGCTGAATCAAAGCTCCTCCACAGCCACATAGGGAAGAACGTGATCATATAGTATC